GAAAGATTAACCAAGTGAGCCGCGGCGCCGGCCCCCACCTTGCTGCTTTCAACATTGGTCTTTGGATTGCAGGTTTCCTGTGGCGTGTCTGGCTGTAGATCGTTTTATATTTATCTTTCCTGTGGTGTGTCTGGCTGTAGATCTCTTTGTATTTATCTTACCTGAGGGTCTTTGAGCTTCTTAGATCTATAGATAAATGGTTTTTACCAAATTCAGGAAGTTTTTTTGCCATTATTTCTTCACATTTTTAGTGTCATTTGTCTCTCTCTCCTCTCCTTCTGAGACCCTTCCCCCTTTACATAGGTTGTTTGCTTGATATTTTCCCACAGGTTACTGTGGCTCAATTTTTGTTCAATATTTTATTTGTTGTTATTTGACTTGAATAGTTTGAGTTGTTTTTCCTGCAATGTTTTTTTTTAAAGTATTTATTTGAAAGTCAGAGTTACACAGAAAGAGAAGTCTTCCATCTGCTGGTTCACTCCCCAGTTGACCGCAACGGCCGGAGCTGTGCTGATCCGAAGCCAGGAGCCAGGAGTTTGTTCCAGCTCTCCCACGTGGGTGCAGGGGCCCAAGCACTTGGGCCATCCTCCACTGCTTTCCCAGGCCACAGCAGAGAGCTGGATAGGAAGTGGAGCAGCCGGGACTCAAACCAGTGCCCATATGGGATGCCGCCACTGTAGGCAGCGGCTTTACCTGCTACGCCACAGCGCTGCCCTGCAGTCTTTTTTTTTTCAATTATGCTGGTGTCTTTACCATTTTCTTAACCACCAGACCACACACCCCATCCTGACTTTTGTTTTGTTTTTAAGATTTATTTTACTTATTTGAAAGTCGGGGTTACACAAAGAGGCGGAGAGAGAGAGATCCTCCATCCACTAGTTCACTCCCCAAATGGCCACTAGCGCAGCTGTGCCAGCTGGAAGGCAGGAGCCAGAAACTCCACACGGGAGTCAGAGGCCCAGGCACTTGGGCCGCCATCCGCTGCCTTCCCAGGCGCATTACCAGGGAGCTGGATTGGAGCAGAGCCCTGGCACTTGATAGGGCGTCAGTGTCACAGGCGGCGGCTTAACCTGCTGCAGCACAGACCTGCCTGTTCTGCCGTCTTGAATCTATAACTGTCCGAGGGTCATGTCCGGACACCCGTTGTAAGCTGAGAATAGAGTAAGTAGAAAGTGCATTCCACCCACCTAACCTACCAGATGGCGCGGCTCGCACGGCCAGCGCCTCGGTTACCCCGGTGGCCATAAGGCTGCCCGGGAGTTGCCCAGCCTCTAGGAGACCGTGCTGTGTATCAAGCCCAGGAAGAGGTCCAAGTTCAGAATTCGGTTTCCACTGAAGTGTGTCCCTCTCACAAGCTCACAAAGTTGCGAAGTCAGCAAGTGGAACCTCCGTGAGTCAGGGCCTCTGTCTCCTCCCTGGGAATCCCCGTGTGGCCGTGCCCTGCGTGGACGTACACGCGGTCCCTGCACTCTGAGCGCTGAGCAGCAAACACGCTTCTCACTGGTGTTAAAGATTGATTTTTTTAATGTATTTATTTACTTAAAAGAGTTACACGGTGAGAGAAGGTGAGGCAGAGAGAGGGAGAGGGAGGTCCTCCATCCTCTGGTTCACTCCCCAGATGGCCACAATGGCCAGGTCTCCCACGCGGGCGAGGCTTTAACCTGCTGTGCCACACAGCACGGCCCCAAAGATTGATTTATTTTATTTGAGAGAGAATAGAGAACAAGTGGCAAAGACAGAGAGAGAGGTCTTCTGTCTGCTGGTTCACTCCCCACATGGCCGCTGGGTCGTGCCGATGCTGGGACATCTCACCTCCGAACTGGGTGGGGGTTCCCTCCCTGCCATGGCCTGTGGAACCCGGCTCTCCTGGTAGGTACCGATCCCCACCCCCAGTCTGTGCGAAGCGTGGTGGTTCTCAGCTCTTCAGACGAGAGGAAACACGGGACAGAAAAGCAGAGTTGCACACTAATTGTACTTGGACAGATGTGTCCCATGCGGTCTTTCATCTTTATTTGTGTCTGTTTCTAAGGTGGAGAAAATCAAGATCCTGCTGCGGAACGTTGATTTGGTGGACATCAAGGTGGGGTCGGTGGAGGAGTTCCAGGGGCAGGAGTTCCTGGTCATCGTCATTTCCACGGTGGGGACCCTGGCCGCCGTGCCTGGGCCCGGGTGCCCTGGGGTGGCGCGGGTCGAAAGGCAGGGGGCGGCAGGGTGGAGGCTGCTGGACCCTGGTGCCACCTGGGCGGTAGCCCCAGAGAGCTCGCCCGGAGACGACCAGGAGACAAGAAAAGTAGAAGGGGTGCAGGAGGAGACGGTAACCGCCCCAGCGGGGCTCAGGGCGGGCCAGCGGGAGGCCCCGTGTCGGAGAGGAGCCGCCAGCCACACTGCCCACAGCGTCTGTGGAGAGCTAACGCTCAGCACCCTCCTTAGTTTTAACTCACCCTTGTTAGTACAAGTCACGTGCAGGTAAGTTACAAAATCCAGTACAAAAGACAAGAGTCCCCTCGAGCCCTACCCCCGGGGACACCCTGGCACTGGGTCCCCACGGCAGAGTGGGGGTGAGGCTGTGCTCCCCGCTGCGACCCGGCTGGCCATGGCCTGGGAGCAGCTCGCGACGCCGTTGTGTCCGCGCTCGTGTCTCTCAGGTGCGGTCGAGTGAGGACAGATTTGAGGACGACCGCTACTTCCTGGGTTTCTTGTCCAACTCTAAAAGGTTTAATGTGGCCATCACCAGACCGAAGGCCTTGCTGATAGTGCTGGGAAACCCTCACGTCCTCGTCAGAGTGAGTTCACGGCCCACACAGGTGCCACTGGCTCAAGGAGAGTGTCCAGGCCTCCCGACTGAGCCCTGACGGCCTCCTCGTGTGCCCCCGCAGGATCCCTGTTTCGGGGCCTTGCTGGAGTACAGCATCACCAATGGCGTCTACACAGGGTGCAACTTGCCTCCCGAGCTGCAGGCCCTGCAAACGTGAGTTCCCGAGGCAGGGGCTGTCCCATGGCCCTGGGCCCGCCTCCTGCACAGGGACAGCCCTCTCCCTCCTCCTCCCTCGGCATGGGGAGGGCGTCGGCCTCCCTTGCGGTCTAAACAGGTGAACGGGGCGCCCCTGGACAGCACGAGCGCTCAGCCGCACTGGGAGCTAGACTCACTGCCGCCCTTCCCCCCTGCAGCTGACGGCCCCGCCCAGCGTGCCAGAGCCACGGGGGCCGGACAGGCGGAAGCGGATTGGAGCTCAGTGTCTGACAACCAGAGGTGTGCCTCACAGCCGGACCCCTGGGCTCTCCACCGCGCTGGGGTCTGGGGTCATCCCAGTTTCTCTGGCTCCCGCTGCTGATTTTGGTTCACTCCAGCCTGCTCCTGCCACTGGGCAGTCACTGCCGCCCCCCCACCACCAGAATAAACCCTCAATGGCCCCAGCTTCCTTTCCACCTGAAATGTGCTGTGTCCATCATGACCACGGTGGTGTGTGGCCTCCGATCCCTGCTGGCCACAACCTTTGGGGACAACCTCACTGCCCTCTGTCCTGAGCCGGCTTTGTGCCAGGCAGCCGGCAAGGACTATAGGCAAGGGGTGGGCGTGCAAAGCGCAGGCTCTGAGAAGCTCTGCTTGGGGAGGGGCTATCAGCTTGGCTGCTCTGGGCCCCAGTGCTACTGGGCAGGGCCTGTGCAGAGACCCCTTCCCGTCCCCTCTGACCAGAGCAGGTCCGGCCATGCCCACGCGGACGCCGAGCTCGGAGCTGTGTGGTTCCGTGGCGAGCAGTTCTGTGAAGCAGCTTCCTGTCCTTGGAGGCTGCCGTGTGTGTCGGGAGACAGGACCAGACCCAGAGCTCAGCCACGCGGAGAAGGCTCGGCGGCAAGTCTGGGAACCGGCGTGGCAGGAGGCAGGGCCATGGCCTGGGCTGGGAGAGGCTGCCCACACGGGCAGACGGCTGGGGAGTGAGGGCCAACCCGATTCTGCCTGCCGTCCCCACTGTGAGGTGCACTGGCCAGCACGGTCCCCGACACGGCCACGGGCCCACCCCACCCCCAGATTCACTCCACGGAGGCCTGCACACCTGACTGGGGAGAGGAGGGCGCTTCCTCCCGGCAGGCGCCCCGCTGTAGGCCCCGTGTTCTCAGGAAGGCAGCTGGAGTTGATGTGCCAAGGGGGTGCGTGCAGGCGCAGGCAGGGCCCCCGGACAGTGGGGTCATCTGCCCCCAGTGCTGGGAGCCAGGTAGGACGCCACCGGCAGTGGCTGGGCCCTGTCCTCTGGCTGCAGCCAGTGGGACAGCTTCATGCCCTGCAGCCCCAGCTGGCGAGAGCGCGGCGGTGCCCTGGCTCTGGAGCGTGGCTGCAGCTGTGGTGCTAAGGGAGCCGGCCCCGCTCAGCCCAGGGAGGGGCTCAGTGCTGAGGGGGCAGCCCCTCGGGAGGTGGGAGCTGCCCATCCTGAGCAGCCTTGCAGTGTCTCTCCCTTGCCCCATGTCCAGGTGCTGGGTGCGTCCCCACAGGGGCCTGCGCCCCCTCCCACAGCATCTGCCCCGGGGCACCAGCCCTGCCAAGGTGGAGCACCACACACCCGCTCACTGGCAGGTCCAGGAACAGTGCAGTGGTCGGGCTTGGCTGTGGCCTGACTGAGCAGCCCTGCACGCCAGCTCCCAACATCTGATAACCGGGTCAGGCGTTCGGATCAGAACCGGCCAGGTTTGCCGTGAGGAGCTCTGGTCACGGCAGCATCCAGGGGCGGCCCCGGGTGGACGTGGGGCGTATCCCCTGAGGCAGGTGGCCGGGGCCCGTCTTGTCCACACCGGCTTCCCTGCCCCCAGGCGATTCCTGGCCCCCTGCTGCCCGGGGTGACCGCCCTGCCCCCAGAGCGCGCCTCTGCCACGAAGCTTTTTCATGAGATGTCCCACGTGCTCCTGTGCCCATTGTGGCAGCTGCCCAGCCGTGTGCAGTGTCCACGGCCCCTGGCCCTTCTGTCAGGGACACACATGCTGATTCCAGGAGGTCGCTGCCCCGCTCCCCCTGGGAGGCAGGAGTCAGGAGGACTCAGCTTCCTCCCATGGCGCCTCCGGGGCAACCCCTGCAGAGCAGCATGGCTGGTGGAGGCTGGGTCCCGGGGGCAGCCTTGAGTCTCAAGGGACGAGGACGAGGGGTGGCCCCACTGGGTCTGGGCCACGCCGAAGCCAGGAGTGGAATCCTGTCCAGGTCTCCTGCATGGGTGGCAGGGGCCCTGACACGGGCATCTTCCAGTGCTCTCCCAGGTGCATTCGCGGGGAGCTGGACCGGGAGTGGAGCAGCCAGGACTCACTACAGATTGTGGGGCTTAACCCGCTGTGCCCAGAGCATGACCTCATGGCCACTCTTGGCACACACTGAGGGTCCATGAGGATTTTGTACTTGTGGGCAGGGTGGAGCACCAAACAGCAGTGGCCACACAGGAAACCCCCCACGTGGGCCCCACGTTCCCGTCACACAGCCAAGCCGTATCATGAGTTACGATGAGGTTACCAAGGTAGCAGTGAGCACTAAACCCAGCTTGGGCTCTGAGCACTGCACCTCCCCGCCGCCCCAGTCGCCCCCGCCCTCTGGCAAAGCTGGCCCGCCCGTCAGCTGGGGGCTGGGAGGACTGGCGTGAGGGTTTGTGTCCACCAGGGCAGCTGAGGGGGAGCAGGGAGGCAGGACTCGGGGAGGGCAGGGGCCCAGGGAGGGGAGGCAGGAGCTCGGCTGCCTGCAGCTGCAGAAGCTGGGGGGTCTGACGCGTGGTGTGGGTGTTGGTCGTAGTCCCACCTCGAGGTCTTGCCCAGCAGAAGCCCAGCACGGGAGCTGCCTTGCGTCTGGGCCATAGGAAGGCTGCACCTTGTGCTCACCTGGGCAAGGGCCGCCGTCTGCCGGTCCATGGAGTCGCAGTGGCCGGCACCTGGGCAGGGAGCATCGGCAAGAAAGGGACAGCCCAGCACAGGCAGTCCCACGCCGGCCCTGAGGCTCTGCTGGGGGCGGACACAGGCCCAGCCAGGCCGCGCTCTGCCCGGCCCTCACCTGGCACACAGCACAGCCCCAGCTCTTGCCTCAGGATAATCAAGAGAACTGGGGTCTTGGTAGAAGGAGCAGGCTGCTGGGTCCCCAGGACCTGGAATGTGCTGGTGCCCACCCAGAGACCTGCACAAGCCAGGGGATGCCAGACCTGGACAGGAAGCAGCTCCTGGGCTGTGCCCCCAGCGTGCCAGCACACACAGCAGGGTCAGGCCCTCGAGGAAGGTCAGGCACAGGGACCAGAGCTGTGCCTGAGACCAGCAGCAGAGGAGGGTCCAGGGTCCCTGCGCTGCTGGCTCAGGCTCCAGCCGCGCGCTCACATCCTGCAGGGCACCGCGTGGGTGGTGGTGGGAGGAGGTAGCTTCCAGGGCCAGCAGGGACTGGCTGTCACCCAGAGCCCCCGGCCCCTTCTGGCATCTCCCAGGGGGTGCCTAGTGCCACACTGCCTTGTCCTCATTGGTCATGGCCTGAGGATGACCTGCCCCCCACAGCGGTTCTGTCGGTGCACGGCATTCCACCTCCTGGTTCTGTGGTCAGAATCCAGGAACAGCTTGGCTGGCCGCAGGACACGGTGAGTCCGGGCCGGCCACTCTGTGTGCTCCATGATGTGTCACTCAGCCTGGTGCCGGTGTGACGGGGCGTCCACACCTCCTCCACACGGTCTGTGTGGGTCGTTGGGCCTTGGGGGCAGGACCCTCCCCCGCTCAGGAGCCAGCTGGACGCCCCTCCCCCACGTGGTTTTCACAGCTGGACGTTCGGTTCCGTCCCATTTCCCCCACAGAATTGTCCCCTAGCACAGAGTGTGCCCGGAGAGTGTGGGTGTCCCGGGTGTACCCTGTTCCTTTGGGCACACCACCCCCACACACGAGGGTGTGAGCTGGTGGCCAGCTCCGGCCAGTGAAGCCCCACTGCGTGGAGGCTGCTCAGTTGCAGTGAGGATGCCAGGAGCCCACTGCCACCCTGACACCCACGTGGCAGCCTGGCCTGTTCTGACTGCTCAGGCCACTGCCTGCATTTGTGAGCCCACAGCCCACGAGGGTTGTTAGACTTACTCTCATAAGGGCCGGCACTGTGGGCAGCAAGCTGAGCCTCCGCCTGCAGCACCGGCATCCCACGTGGGCGCCAGTTCAAGACACGGCTGCTCTTCGATCGAGCTCCCTGCTGGTGGCCTGGGAGAGCAGTGGAAGACGACCCAAATGCTGGGGCCCCTGCTCCCACGTGGGAGACCTGGAAGAAGCTCCTGGTTCCTCACTGCCGATGGGCCCAGCTCTGGCTGTTGGGGCCATTTGGGGAGCGAACCAGTAGATGGAAGACCTCTCTGTCTCTCCCTCCCTCCATCTGTAACTCGGCCTCCTTAAAAAAAAAAAAAAAAAAAAATTTATCGGCCGGCGCAGCGGCTCAATAAGCTAATCCTCTGCCTTGCGGCACCAGCACACCGGGTTCTAGTCCCGGTCGGTTGGGGCGCCGGATTCTGTCCCGGCTGCCCCTCTTCCAGGCCAGCTCTCTGCTGTGGCCAGGGAGTGCAGTGGAGGATGGCCCAAGTGCTTGGGCCCTGCACCCCATGGGAGACCAGGAGAAGCACCTGGCTCCTGCCATCGGATCAGCGTGGTGCGCCGGCCGCAGCATGCCGGCCGCGGTGGCCGTTAGAGGGTGAACCAACGGCAAAAGGAAGACCTTTCTCTCTCACTGTCCACTCTGCCTGTCCAAAAAAAAAAAAAAAATTAACATCGTAAGTGCTCCTGAGGGGCGTCTGTGTTGCCAGTTCCATGCATAACTAAACATGGATGTCACGTGACCTGGAGGGTGTCTCTGGTCTCCATGACAGAAGTAAGAGCTGAGAAAACAGCTGCTTAAATAAGCGGAAATGGATGTTGAGGTTTTATTCTTTGCTTTCATTTTATTTGAAAAGCAGAGACAAAGAGAGGGAGACGGAGATCTTCCATCCTTGGGTTCACTCCCCAAAAGCCCCCCACAGCCAGGGCTGGGCCAGGCTGGAGCCGGGAGCCCCCCCCCCCCCCGGCCTTCCAGGTGGGTGGCAGGAACCCAAGTACTGGAGCCATCAGCTGCTGCTCTCCGGGGTGTGCGTCATCAGGAAGCCGGAATCGGGCGGAGGAGGCGGGACGCTGGTGACTTGACGCCCGCCTTGGGAATGTTTTGCTGGTACCCTAACTCAGTCTCAAGACTGTGTCGGGGCCACAGTTTAACACATCCCGGAGGGCAAGCTGCTCCAGTGAGGCGGCTCCTTCCCGAGCCAGGACCTGGGAGGAGCGTCCTCCGGGCCGGGCCACTCTGTGTGACAACCGCAGCGGCAGGCCCTGTTCCCCACGCATCCTCTTGGGAGGGCAGCAGAGCCGGGGCCCCGCAGGACTTGAGCCCCTGTCCAGGGTGTCATCCACCTCTGCCCCTCTGCACAGGTTCCCTCCCGGCACCCATCTAGCCCCCCACCCCAGCCCGGAATGAGAGCGGCATCCAGTGGCCACTGAGTGGAGCAGCAGGTGCTAGGGGCCCCGGGCCAGGTCTCGGGTCTGCCCGGCCCTACAGGCCTGCCCCGGGGCTCTCAGGGGCTCGGTCACAGCCAGCCATGGGGCACCATGCGAAACTGGTGGTCAAAGGCCCGGCACCCACAGAGCCAACTCGGTCACACCTGGAAGTCAGCAGCGTTCTTGGGCACTCAGTGCCGGACACGCTTCAGAGAGAAACAGGTGCATGCAGGAAACCGCGTCGCAAACCAGTGCAGGAAGACCCCTGAAGGGCGGCTTAGAGATTTTTATTGCTATTTGAGAGACATCTCCTGTCTGTCGGTTCACTCTGCAAACGTCTGCAACAGCCTGGGCTGGGCTGGGCCAGGCCAAACCTCATAGCTGGAACTGCATCCAGATGTCCCAGGGGGCGGCAGGGACCGAGCGCCTGAGCCATCACCCGCGGCCTCCCAGGATCTGCTGTAGCAGGAAGCTGGAGTTGGACGCGCGGCCGGATATGCGATGCAGAGGTCCCAAGCAGAGCGTCTCAACCAATACATCAAACACCCACCCGAGAGACTTAATTCTGTCACAGGGTGTAAAGAAGCCGTGTGTAGACTGCAGGTGGTCCAGTCACAGGCCTGGGGCTGAGCGAGGAAGGGCTGCGGACCGTGAGCCGGCGCTCGGGCGGGCCTCGTGGCGCGGCGCTAGCGGCTTGGGCACCTGCTCCCGCGTCCGCTGTGCTGGTCCCCTCCAGTTTCTCCGCTTTCTCTACAGCTTCCTGCTAATGCTTCCGGGAGGCGGCGGAAGGCCGGAGCGCTCGGGCTCCTGGCTCTGGGCGGCCTGGGTCATCTGGGGACGTCGGGGTTATCTGGGGGCGGCCACCATCCCCGAGCTACGTGGGGGGCAGCGGACACGAGGGAGCGGTAATACAAGCGGAGCCAGGAGCGCCGGTCCCCCAGTGTGCCCAGCCAAGGGGTGCGCAGCCCCGGACCGCGCGGGCCCGCCCCGAGCGGGTAGAAAACACTGGCGCGCCAGGCGGCCTCTGCGGATGGATTAACCGCGACCGCACCCAGCGCCTTACAAACGCGGTGCGGACGGTCAGCTCCGCCGGGAAGGGGTCGGGGGGCGCGGACGCGCCGCGAGGTGGTGGGGTCCCGACCCACGCGTCAGGACGCCCAGGGGCGGGCACCCTCGGGACGCCTGCGGACGGAGAGCGGAGCGGGCTGCGGCGGCTGCGGGAGGGCGAGCAGGCGGTGCCAAGGGACGCGCGGGCGCCGCGGAGCCTGTGCGGGGAGGGGGCGTCCGGTCGCCACGCCCATGCCGGCCACGCCCCCGGGCAGTGGGGGTCTCCGCGCCCCGGCGGCGGGGAGCGTGCGGGACAGGGACCCCGCCGTGGGGCGCGACTCCCGGGCCGTCCGGCGGCTCTAGGCGCCCGCACCGCGGCAGGTGAAGCCTCGGGCTCCGGCTCGGCCCGTGAGCCGGGGTTAGCCGACCGGTCCCTGTGCGTTCTCTTCGCTCAATTCAAAAAATTTTTTTTCTGCAAAGTCATCGCCCGCACCGCATCTGCGTGGCGGGAGGGGGCGGAGCCACGCCGCGGAGCCGCCGCAGGTAAACAGCCCCCCTCCCGCGCGCAGAGCGAGGCCTCGGCCGCAGGGACAGCGGCGCTCCGCCGGCCGCCGCCCCCGCCGGGAGGGACGCGCCAGGCGCGGGGCCGGGGCTGCAGCGGAGGCGGCCGCCCCGCACCCCGCACCCCGCACCCCGCGGGGCGGCGGCGGAGCGAGCCCGGCCCCGCCGCGGGCCCCGCGCCCCCGCTCCTGCGCCCCCGGCCCCGCCGCGGGCCCCGCGCCCCGCGCCGCCCATGCACCACCTCCTGGAGCAGTCGGCGGACATGGCGACCGCGCTGCTGGCGGGCGAGAAGCTGCGGGAGCTGATCCTGCCCGGCGCGCAGGACGAGAAGGCGGGCGCGCTGGCCGCGCTGCTGCTGCCGCTGAAGCTCGAGCTGCCGTTCGACCGCGTGGTCACCATGGGCACCGTGCTCGTGCCCATCCTGCTGGTCACCCTGGTCTTCACCAAGAACTTCGCAGGTGAGGCGGGCCGCCCGGCGGCGACCCCCACCCCGCCCGGCGCCTGGTCCCCCCCCGGGGTGTCGGT